CGGGGATTCGAACCCGCGACAATCAGATTGCGAGTCGAGCGCCTTAACCACCTGGCCATGCCGGGCCCTATTTATTGGTTATTTCGGTTATATAAAAGAGGAAATATATGTATGCATTATTATCCAAAATATGAACCTATGACCCTATTTAATTAACAAAACCTAAACTAAGTATTACTTATTCCAAGACAGTTGTTGATTGATCACTCCATTTTCACATCACTGTTTCAACTATTCAAGATTATATTAAAATACTTCTTATGTTAACCTTAATATGTTACTTTTCTATCTAAAAAATGTTATATGTACATATAACAATATTAATAAATGAACATTGATTTTACTCAATTTTCTATGAGTGCCGTTGTATTGTCTGCGATGTATGGTTGGGTACAACCAGTATAAAAGCATCAGTGACTTCAGGAAACACACTCCATGTGTCCCAAGTTGTTTTCTTATGTTTCCCAGCGAAGAATGAGACCATGTAACAACCTGTGAAAACATGGAACATTGGTAGGGTTCTCGATTTCCTTAAGCCCAACTGGGCTGCAATTTCATTTGCCGCAATGCATCTAAGGTGCTTACTTACATCAAAGGCTATCCGTGGTTCGATAGCTCGAATTTCGTGAATGTGAGAAGATTCATATATATTTACATCAGTATCTGTTGTTCTGACCATGATTCTTTCATTGAGTGTAGCATTGTTGTTACCCAGTGTAGCTTCAAATCCTCCTGTAAATCTGAGTGGTATTTGTTTTTCAGTCCAGTAGCAGAAGTACGAATTTCAGTGTTAGTAGTTGTATTCAGATTTGTTAAAAACCGTAATTGGCACTTATGTCTTTAAAGGAGTTGTGTCTATGTTGCAGCTCTGTGGCAAGTTCATCAATCATTACATTAAAAACCTCAACCCTAAATTTCTCTCGCCCTGCCAAAACACAGTTCAGTTCCTCAGACTCAATAAACAGTTTTTCGTCTAATTTCACGGCCCTTGTCGGACTCGTATTCTTGAGACACCCGCGTTATTATTGTTTTTACTGTGGTTTGAAACTTATCAAACTTAGTTTTATGACTGCAACAAATTCCTTCAGTGAGCCTTCTAAATTTACAGCAGCGGCTAAGGTCTAAATCAACAGTCTGAAGGGCATTACTGGTTGACTGAAATCGCTGCAGAATTGTGTTCCAAAAAGTAGCAAAGAATGGTAATTTCTAGCTTGTATGTACAGAGATCGAGCATCGCTACGTGTGCTTTGGTTCTGGTTTGAACCAACAACCAGACTCTTCAATGATTCCTCAATATTGACATAATTAAGAAAAAGTGCTTTGTAACCTGGCCATGAGAAAGCTGTCTAGCAACTGACACATTCTTCAGCATCTTGATTATTTTATTGTCATTTTGATCTAGTTCAGCCGTAATGACTTGCCAGAGACGAGCTGATGAAGGGCAAAAATTAAAAGTTGACTGGAGGAATCCAAAGAAAGTATTTGCTCTCGAACAGCATGTTACGTTGGTAACGCCAACTAAATTTAGAGAATAAACTGCGCACGGAAAACACCTCACAAGAGGATGAATCTCCTGAATTCGTGCTCGCAAACCAGTTCGCATTATAGCGGTTGAGGGAAGCGTAACAAACCGAAACGCAATGCTTTCTTAATTACCCGCCCACAAGCAAAAAGGCCATGTAGACTCTCAGCTGAGTTAACAGTTAACAGAAGATGTACTGGAGAAATGCGCCTAAACGAGTTGTTGTTGTAAAGTTTCTAGCTGAGTGTGGTCTTTGCTTTGCAGGAGAAAATGAAATAACAGGCTATTTTTCACAATGGCAACAATTTTTGGAATTGCTTGGTCAATTTGATATTTTTTCTTACTGAGCTTGTTTGTTTTTAGAGCAAAGCCACAATGGGCCATCTGCTGTGTCTACCGCGCGGAATCGAACCTCGGATTTTAGCATTGTAGATCCGTAAACTTACCGCAGTCCATAAAAAATATGGAAATGCTGGTAAAGGAAATCCTTCCTATAGATAATCATTTATTTGCGATGGATTCATTTTTTTAACGGGACCTAAGGTCCTTTCTGAAATGATCAATCAGTTGCAGAGTGCAAAGTACTTTTCAACTATCGTAGGTTCCACCCCGACCTGTCTCATGCTGATCAGCTAACAAACATTCATTGTCCACTATGTGTCGCAAGAGAGTCATACTGGAGAATCACTTTTTCATTCAGTTACTACTGTTTTACAGGGGATCAACATTAATATATTGAATTGCAGAGACCAGTGCTATGTCAATGCCAGTAATATGTCTGAAACAAACAAATTGTTCAGCATCTGAAAGAAATCGCAAAAATCAGAAGAGGTACTTATCAAAGAGGTACTTAAGAGATACTTATCGAAAACTCTATTCACTAGCAGTCGCAATAAAATGGAAAATCTGTAAATAGAGAGTGGCTTCTTTGTTCACCATCGACAGCCTCAGTGTTCTGTTTTATATGTTGGTTACTTGCAGATAGATCGTGTGCAACAACATCGTTTAGTGATTCAGATTTCAGCAATAGGAAACACTCTACTCGCAGTTTTTAATTTGACAAGACTGAAGGCCTTTAATAATGTAACAAGACTGCAGTTCTTCAGTTACTGGACTACCAGTGGACCAGTTTCACTACCTACTATATTCTTTACCTTGTTTGTTACGATTTCAGTCTCCTCCGAAATCAACTCATTTGAAACCGTAGAGTTATGCTTTGCCTGTAATTGAAATCCATCGGAGGACACTGCCTCCTACTATTGATTTTGTCAGATGCATTTTCAAGTGTCTTATTTCTCTCACATACATCTCTAGGTATTTTATTAGAATAGGTAGTCAACTTTGATGTTTTGTTTAAAATCCTTTCTTCTCTACAACGTATTTCAATATTTGTGCTTATCGCTTTCCAGCGCCGCTTTCTTACTTTCTGGTTGCTCGGTCCGACATTTTTTCAGGCTGTGGAACGTCGTGCTCGGACCAGAAAATACTTTTGGATGTGAATTGATTTGAATCTTAGTGCTGAATATGCAGTGATTGAAATAGAGACTTGTTTTCAGTTTTTAAAATATTTTATCAATTATGTTTTGGGGGCGCCTGCGTTTATCCGGTCCTGAGCATACCACTCTTCAGTACGAGTCTATTTTTAAGCTTGAATGATCACTTCTTCAAAGATAACCCACTGAAAAAATATAAAAAAGCAATTGATAATGATAGTTCTATGAAATTTAGTTTAGAAAACTTTGTAATCTGAGTTAACGTTAATAAATAATCAAAGTGTTGCACGGAAAAAAAGAAAACTCATGACACCAGCTGTATACTTAAAATTCTTGATAACTGACAGAAGATTGGCTGATCCAGTTCACTTCTTAATTAAGATGGTAAAAAAACACAAGAACTCTCCACTAAATTGACACACATAATTTTCCAGCACCTTTTCTATGCATTTAAACACCGAAATAATACTATAAATCTTTCTTTTAATGGGGTAGATATTTAGCTTAAAGGAGGGGTTCGCTGAAAGTAAACCTTTCCCAACTCGTGAAAATTATTTTACATCTTTCATGAGAGCTGGAAATAAGCAAGTGAGTATTTTAAGTTTGATTTTCAGACTTAAAGAATAGTAAAATTGATGGTGAAATGCTGTTTTGAGGCAAGGTCAGCAAAGAGAAGACAGCCGTCGTTGAAGTCGAGCTACCAAATATCAGGGCTTGATTGCCCGGCGGTGAGATGAAATGGCACCGTTTCAGAGTGGCGGGGAGCTATAACTCCTATTCCACAAAAATTTGGTTTGGGGGGGGGGCGGTGGTGGTAGAGAAGTACTCTGAAAAAAACCCACTTTCACAGGACAAACGCCGAATTAAAACATTTGTCCTCTGCTCGAGCTGAAAAGCTAAACATGATCGTTAATAAAGAAAAACTACATAATTATAGAGAATCCCTTGATTTGTTTGTGTGTCTGTGCTTGTTTGAGATATAAACTGTAAGGGGATAACAGCCTGTACGCTGCACCTGAATTTATGTGTTGTGAAGAGGTGATTGTATTTCTGGTTTCGTCTTTACGATAATAGTTTTGTGCTAGCTCGTTCAGTCTTACTTTTAAAGGCGGAGTATTTCGTGCTTTATATAGATAGCTGACATGGGTATAACTAGAGAGCCTTAAAGCTAGCCTCAAAACTCTATGTTGTTGAAATTTTAGCTTTTTGAGGGTATTGTTGGACATGTTATAAGTAATTTGACATCCGTATTCTATAGTTGGGCGTATGTATGTTTTATAGATTTTTAAAATAGTGTCCAGTGTACAAATTTTATTGTTTCCAGCAATAATTAATCTAAAGCGATTAATACACTTGTTGATGGTTTCATTAAGTTTTCTTACATTTTCTATCCACGTGAGTTTTCTATCGAATGTTAAACCAATCAATTTGGTACTGGAGCTTATTTTGATGTTTAGTTTTAATTTAACTTTTTCCCAATTTTTAACGTGTTTAGATTTCTATGAAAAATAATACATTGGGTTTTAAGTGGGCTTAGCAGGACCCGCCAATTGTTCAACCAATCATTGACAACATTTAATGATTTCTTTACGCGGTCCACAGCTATTAGGGGATTTCGAGATACACTCTAAACAGCAATATCGTCGGTGTATTCAGAAAAGGAGGCGTATGTTAAGTCTGGAAACAGCATGTCGTTAACGAATACTGTATATAGGAGTTTGTTTCTTTTTATAGAGTAAACCCACATTTGGATAGCTGTTGTGTCCACCACGGAGAATCGAACCCCGGATTTTAGCATTGTAAGTCCGTAGACTTACCTCTGTCCCACAGGACAGAGTTGTGCGGAACTCCTGTTGAAATATTATTTGTTTTCGAGAGAGTGTCAATTATTTTTATTGTTGTTGTATGATTAGTTAAGAAGTTCGATATCCATCTTGTTATTACATGATTAATATTCATTGATATTAGTCTATATCTTACGGCAGTGAACCAAACTTTAAACAGCGGTGCTCCTCTCACTCAGCAAAGTTTCAGTTGTGCCTCCGCCTTCATATTAAAATGGGCCCGGCATGGCCAGGTGGTTAGGGCACTCGACTCGCAATCTGAGGGTCGCGGGTTCGAATCCCCGTCACACTAAACATGCTCGCTCTTTCAGCCGTGGGGGCGTTATAATGTGACGGTCAATCCCACTATTCGTTGGTAAAAGAGTAGCCCAAGAGTTGGCTGTTGGTGGTGATGACTAGCTGCCTTCCCTCTAGTCTTACACTGCTAAATTAGGGACGGCTAGCGCAGATAGCCCTCGTGTAGCTTTGCGCGAAATTCAAAAACAAACAAACAAACAAAACAAACATATTAAAATAATTTTCGCAAATTATGACAGCAAAATCAACATTTTCTCTACCTGTTTTTAACATCTTTTTTTAAATGAAAACATTCATGTAAGGAGTGAGTAAATGCGAGGGCAAAAGTAAAGCTTTGAGAGTAAAGTGATAGTTTTGTCAGGTCATTGTCATCTCCAGTTCTTCTGTTTCTTCCGTCGTTATTTTTTACACTCTCCCGCCAAAAGGCCGCCCCCCCTTCTCCTAGTTTGGAAAAACATTGTCTTGTAGCATTGTGCCAAACACTGCCAAAAGCTTTGCGAACATCGAGAAAAATTTCAATCGTGGCTTGATTATTATTGAAGGACCTAAAGGCATCTCTCTTTTTGCGTGATGAATTTTGTTTGTGAGAATGTTGTTAGTTTCCCAGAAATCAAGAAGTCTGATAGCTACGATTTTTTCAACTAGTTTTCCTAAACAGCTAAGAAGACTAATGAGTCTAATATTTTCTGAATTGGATGTTGTTGTAGAGTAATTAGGGATGACTGTTATAGTGGCCTTTTTTTCCAGATATCCGGAAAGTAGTCTGTTAGCAGTGATAGATTTATCAGATTTGTTAGATGGGTGAGAAGATTATCAGAGACTTTCTTGAGAATTATGTTTCTGATCCTGTCATGTCCGGAAGCAGAAGTTTTGAGTTTATATATATTGATTTTAGCATTGGCTTTGGTTACTTTGCGATTTAAAATGTGATTTTTGGTTTGACATTGTATTTGCATCTGTATTATTTGCGGGGAAACTAGGTGTATATAGGCATGGGTTACCCATGACATGGTTGTCGACTTTATACTGATTTTATTAATTAGATATGGAGGAGTCTGTGTTTTTAAAGGTTGTTTCAAAGTAATTCGCTAGTAGATTTACTTTTACTAGGTCTATTTTTGCGATGTTGTTGTTCTTGTACTTGATATAGTGGAACATATTGTTACTACTTTTTGCTGAGATTTAAATTTGTTATAAAAGTCCTTGGTTATTTCGTGATTTGTTTAAACTATTACAGAAGTGTAACCAATTGTCGTATTTAAGTATATAGATGCTTTGTTTTATTTTTCGGTTAATTTATTAATTTGAGATCTTATTGTTATGTCGCGGATAACTATATATATAATTTACTGAGACGGCGTCGTTCAAGGAGTAAACTGCGTATTTCTGGTAAGTGATTGTGTGTATCTCTTGGAGGACATGGTGATACTGATGTCTACGCAGTGGTAAGTGCATCATATATTTGAATTGAGTAGCTGTAAAGGATGGGTTTTGTTTTCTATGGTGGTTATTAAAGGCAGTAGGAGAGTAAAAACCAAAATATTAAAGTGGTAAGTGCATCATATATTTGAGTGGAGTAGCTGTAAAGGTTTGTTTTGTTTTCTATGGTGGTTATTAAAGGCGGTAGGAGAGTAAAAACCAAAACATATTAAACGAATTATTTATGATATAATGATTATTCAGTTATAGCTGAATAACCTGTTTTACGTTCAAGTTTCATTTCAAAATGTATTAGCAGCAGACCTTGAATGAAACTTATTTCAACGTGAAGTTTTCAATAACTGAAATACGTCTGATGAACTTTATTCCATTGTTTCCTGAGGAAAGAAGAGTCACTTTGAAGAACTTGGGCTGGGCAGCTGTTACAGTCAGATAATCCAACATTTATTCAGTTTTAGCTCTATTAGGCACACGTCATGTTCGGCGCTCAACAACACGCAACACTTCAATTCTTCTCCTCCACTCTATTCTTATCTATATTGTGTCTATGCTCTTTTGTCAATATGAAGTCAGTACCCAGACTACTAGTTGACTTTCAAACCATTCCCTGCTATTGTCTCTCTGTACAGACAGAAATGAACTTCTCAAATATAGACAACGTGAATTCAGAACTTGATGCTATACCATAGTTTTATCTTGTAAATCAGTAATGTGAACTTAATAAGTGTCTTATGTTTCATTTGTAAATAAGCAAGAATGCTTCATTCTATTTGAACCATACGTAAGTTTTCTTCATTAAGACGTTGTGCACGAATAGAAGTATGAGGCATATCTGAAAAACAACTCTTATCGTGGCATGCAGCATAAAAAGGGATATATATATATATAATATTGTAAATCTGTCATTCAAAACAGTCTTTCGTAAGTAGTGGTAAAATATTGTAACGTTAAATATATCTGCTGACATGAATTAATGATAGATTGTGAAACACGGCTTGCGTTCGTAAATTAGACAAATCTACGCAATGATATTAATGTTCTTATCGAATTGATTTGTCTTATCCATATATTTTTGTAAGTTGTTGTTGGTGCAATAGTAGATACGACATAGGAATACAATAACCACCAAGATAAAACCATTATCTTTTCCAGCGTAATGGCAAGTAGTCTTTTTTGACTATATGCTAGCTATACATTGGTAGAAGTTCTTTGTAAATTTCTGATGGATATGTCCAGTAATCAAGCCATTTCTACCTTGCAACTGTTACGTCTTTGTCTTTTTAGTGTGGAAGTATTTTATATTGCCAGCTGCTACCAGTTCATTTAGCACGTAGGTTGAGATATTGTATACCTAATCAGTCAGCTGTCTGTCAAACTGTTCCATATTGTTCTATAAATAGAAAATGATAACAGAACTTGAATTGAATTTGATAATGTTTCTGTATATGGGTTTCCTTAAAATTGATAACATTTATTGGTAATAAGCAAGCAAACTATTGTAAATACCCACCAGGTGTCACTAGTTACAACTGTTTTATGTTGTCAGAAAGTTAGGTCCTCCGGTGGGACAGTGGTAAGTCTACGGATTTACAATGCTAAAATCCGGGGCTCCATTCCCCGCAGTGGACACAGCAGATAGCCCAGCGTGGCTTTGCTATAAAACATACAAAAAGTTAAACTCACACTTGAAAGGAAAATGAAAATGTATATTTGAAGAGAGTTGTTTTGAAGAGATTAATAGCAGTGCAATTTCTATTTGTATTGACGATTATATTCAACTGACAAATGAATATTGAAATATCAGGTCGTCAAGAAATTAATGTTGCGTTTTGGAACACTTTCATTAACCACCCCCACAAAAAACGTACATCACGTCTAATAGTTAAACGAACCGCCTAAACGTCACGTTAGTGTAGCCTATATAATGTGTAAAGTTTAGTATACTCCAAACCCTTATAGTAATGACACACGTACGGCACGTAATGCTGTTTGAATACAAGAAGGGAAACAATGCCTCTGTAGCTACAAAGAATATCAAAGAAGTTTATGGAAATGTTTTGAACGTTTGTAAGTGTCAACGATGGCTCAGCAAATTTCGTTCAGGTGACTTTAGCCTCAAAAACTGTAATGGCAGAGGCCGACATGTTAGAATTGATATTGATTCTCTGAAGACATTTGTTGAGTCTAACACTCGTGAAATT